TGCTGTGAGTGCCGAGGGACCTCAGCCCCGGCTCCCAGCTGGCCTGGCCCGAAAGCCAGGGTCTTCCTCCCCCGCTCCCCCCCCACCGGCCCTGCCCAGAGCTCGGCCTGTGAACTGCCCACGTGGCCGTGACCATGTGGGGCTGGAGGTGGCCGAGTCTCTCCAGTCCCGGGTTGATATCTCCGGTCATCACAGCCCCGCGGTCACTGTGACCCACAGAGACGCTAAGAGGCAGGGGGACGATGCCGGCCACTCAGAGACCATGCCTGTGTCGGGGCCCCAGGCAGGCCCCCCCCCGATGCCCCACGTGGCCTGTTGGTGGCTTTGAACGACCGTCACTGGAACCCGCCGCCAAGGTTAACTCGGAGCCCCGAGCCAGCCCTGATTGGCTGCTCTGTTTCCGGTCTCCCCAAGCCTGGCCTGGACCCCCTCCGAGTGAGCGGCCCCCCCTTTGTCCTGCCGGCTCCTCAGGAGCGCGGCGTTTCTTTGTGGAAAAAGCACACAAAGGTGGGGGCTCGGGCGCCTCTCTGGGCTCCATTGAGTGGTCGGAGCGACCCTCTGCGATTCTCCCCGAGCCGCGCTCAGGCGCCGCTTCCTCCTGTCCGCCCGGGGCGGCACCCGTGCCCTGGTCTTACTGTGGGTCCGGCTGTAAAGACGGAGGAGGACCGCGGAGGAAAGCTCCCCCCTGACACGGCTGATATTGTGGGATGTTTTCCCAGTATTTGCTGCATTTTTAATTAGCTGATACGACAGTGTAAGTAGGACTGGTTTTGTGTTTCTCCTTGACAATAGCAGTGAATTGGAGTTGTTCTCTGATGTCCTGAAATCTTCATAAACATCAGGATTTAAAAACAGATGTCTGAAGCAGGGGCACCTGCTACGTACTGTCGCCCTGTCCCACCCCCACGCACCCTCTCCTGCAGCACCGAGCGTCCCGTCTGAGACAAGATGTGTTGAGTCCATTTTTATTAATTTTGTTAATCCTCACCTGAGGACACGTTGCCACTGACGTTTAGAGAGCGGGGAAGAGAGAGGTTAAGACGGAGAGAAACATCGATGTGAGAGAGACACAGCGATGCGTTGCCTCCTGCACGGGCCCCGACCAGGGCCTGAGCCAGAGAGGAGCCTGCAGCCGAGGTGGGTGCGTGCCCTTGACCGGAATCGAACCCGGGACCCTTCGGGATTCTATCCACGGAGCCCAACCGGCTAGGCCTGGGGCACATGTTTTACGCCAGGCACAGAGATGACTGAGCCGGCCGCCCTCATCCCAGACAGCAAGGTTAATTCTGGGCGGATGAAAGGGCCAAAGGGGGGAAATCACAGAGAGATAATCGCATCAGGCTGGTGAGAGTTTGTGTCAAACCCCGTGAGGGGGAGGACTTCCCAGCCTGCAGCGATGGGAGAAACCACAAAAGAGCAGATCACGAGATGGGGCGAGCCGACGTCCTGACGCGCAGTAAACAGCGAACAGCGAGGTAAAGGTCAGGCTGGCAGGGGGGGAACTGTCTGCAGCGCGTACAACCCAAGATGGGCGGCCGTCATATGTAAAGAGCTCACACGAATCAATACAAACAGCCATGGAGACGGCCTCCGTCATCGGGGAGGGACTCCGTCCGGCCTGTGCCACCCCATCGGCAGCTACTAGCCCCGGGCTGCTTGCCTTTATTTTTAAATGAATTTAGATTTGAGTGAAAACCGGAAGTAAACTCAGATCAGGCCAAGCTTAAATAAAATTTAAAAATCAGTTTCTCAGTCCCGCTGGCCGCACGCCAGGAGCTCAGCAGCCACCGTCGGCCGGCGTCTGTCCTCGTAGACCATCGCTCCACTTCAGAAAGTTAGGGAAGTGCGTAGACAGCTCACAAGAGGAGACACGCAGATGACTACCAAACACATTAAAGTTTTCAACTTCATGACGAATGAAAGGAACCCAAATTAAACCAACGTAGTATTTACATTCATCCAATTAGGGACAAAGCGGACGCTGCCAGTGGAGAATAGACAGCCCCCGACCATCTGTAAAACACTTGGGCGGGGTGACTAAGAGCTGGGCATCCGTAATCCCGTTTCTGGAAATACATCCCAAAGAAACAGTCAGACACACAGAGGCGGACCGAACACAGGAAGGTACCGGTCCCTTCCCTCCTTACAGACTCAGAGAGCGCCGCCCGAACCCCACCCCGGGAAGCGACCACACCCCCACGGGCCTCCCCGTGGACCCATAAGCCATCAACAGGAATCCTGTGCTCCCATGCGGGCCCATTGACTCGGGAAACACTACAACGTGAGATTAATTAAAAAAAATAATTCAAAGTGAATCATTCCACCATAAAAGTACGGGGAAATCCCGATTCACACGAAAGATGAGACAAAATACAAGTCATGACTTCCCCTTTCTCTCTTCCTGTCCACACCTGGTCTCCCTTCAAGGTGCAGTTTGCACGCCACATCCTCATTAAGATTTCTCTCAATATCCCAGGTCACACTGAACTCTCTCTTCCTAAGCACTGCATTTTTCTTTCCTTCCCATCTGGATGGCAATTCGGAAGGCAGTTACCTCTTTCTAACCCTTTCTGTGCTGACACAGTCAGATAACCAACCGCGGAGACCGCCTTTAAACGTGTGCGGCTCCTCTCCTCCTCAGAGACAAGGCCTTTCCCTGCTTCCCCACGTTCCCCGCGAGCCGCCACTTCCACAGAAA